TGCCCTTTGTTAAATAGGCGAGCTATTTCCTCTCTTAGTTGCTTGCAATCTTCCGTTCTGTGGCCATGGGTACCATGATATTCGCACGTTTGATTGGGATTTCTCCAGGCAGGATTGGTTTGCATTGGTCGAGGCCATTTAGTCTCTTCGATGCATCCGATGGCCGACACGAGAGCGGATGCGCCAACGCTGAAGTTATATTCTGATAATCGAGGTGCTTCTATAGGCTCGGCATATTTGTCGAAGCCGCTCTTACTCTTAAGCCCCCGAGAATTTTGTCCCCGATCAATTCTTTGATTGTTCCGAATTGCGTTGCGTGTTGAACCATTGTTTACTCGATCGGTGACGTACGGTCGATATCGGTCTCTGTTTGACCTTTGCTCTCTGTCGATCTGCTTTTGATTAATTACTGTCCTTTTCTGATGAACAGGTCCGTACGGAGTCCCCGACTGATCATCCTCGACCCTAATTTTCGATTGATATCGGTTGTGCACATCTGCCCAAGTTACCGCCGGATACTCGATCAAATTTTGCTTCAGCCGATGTGATGCTGTCGAACTTAGCTCGTTCAATCCTTGGGTGAAAGCTTGTACGGCCCAGTCGTCGGTGACCGTGGGTAATTCCACGCGTTCCATTTGAAATCGGGATACGAATTCCCTCAGCATTTCTCCCTGCCTTTGCTTTACTTTGAAGAGGTCTGATTTTCTCGTTGCAACCTTTATGGCACCAGCATGCGCTTTTACGAACGAATCTGCTAACATGGCAAAAGAATCGATGGAATTTGGTGGTAAATTGTGGTACCAAATCATAGCTCCTTTCGAGAGGGTCTCCCCGAACTTTTTCAATAGCACGGATTCGATCTCATCATCTTCCAAATCATTGCCTTTTATGGCACACGTGTAAGAGGTGACATGTTCGTTAGGATCGGTCGTACCGTTATATTTGGGAATTTCTGGCATACGAAACTTTTTGGGGATTGGCTTCGGTGCCGCACTTGATGGAAAAGGCTTTGGTATGAATTTTTTTGAATCAAGCCCTTTTATCATTGGTGGAGCCCCCGGGATTTGATCGACCCTGGAATTATACGTTTCCACCCTCTTGTCGTTGGCTTCGACTCGTTTTGTGAGCTACTCGAGCAATTTAGTAATTCCGGGAGTAGTCCCCGATTCCTGCTTGTTAGATTTTACTATGGCAGGCTCTGTTTTGGGGGTGACCTCTCGAAGTGGATTGGAAACCGGCCTGCTTTGTGCGCGAGTTTGGCTCTGTAGCTGAGCTATCGTTAATTGCTGGTCTTGCAACATCTCGAAGATCATGCGTAAGCTGGCCCCGATCTCCTCTGGGTTTTGGGTGTCTTGGGCTACGGATCGAGCACCGCCCTAAATGCTTCTTTCCGGTTCGGAACGCTGGTTTGCTTCCAAAGCAATTTGTGAATTGACATCTAGTGGTATTTCGGCTCGAATCTCGGATAGTGCCAAGTTGTTGGTTTCATCTTGAAGGCCAGCTTCGTAATCGGTCGGTGAAGCCATTTGGTCGGTGGCTATTCGTAGCCGAACCTGAATTGAAGGTGTTTTTGGAAATAAGTGACCACTGTTATCCTCTGCCCCACGGTGAGCGCTAAACTGTTTACCCGAAAAAATGGATAGAGTTGAATCTATACGCAGTTCCGAAGATATATGGTACAACTTAATACAGAATGCTAGGATAAATAAAAGTATGAATATAGATTGGAGAAAACGTAATCTAGGCAAATCAATTATGAACAGTGAATTTTAGAATTTAGCAAAATAGAATCAATCTAAGAAACTAGAAAGATCACTCTTGCTTGTAGAGGTAATAATACAATTTGTGATAGTGTAAGTCTCAAAAAAGATGTCCCTACAAGAATGATAAACAAGCCCTTTTATAGTGAACGGGTTTGGCTCTAAGCATAATAAAATAAACATTCAGTGGGAGACCCATGATAAATCGGTTTTTCCATAATTTCTGCCAAGATTCCCTCTAGTGGGATTACAACGGCTTTTGTCTGCGAGCTCGATCTTGCTTAGAATTCTAGATTTTGGTTCGAGCTTGATTTCGGCTCGAATTTGTGATTTTGGTTCGAGCCCTCGAATGGATTCCAGGTCGATGTAGGTTGGTTTTTGGATTATCAGCACGATAGATCTACCCGCGCCATGGTTCGATTCTTGTTCGAGTTTGATTATGATATCGATCTCAACACGGACCGGCCTCCCCGGGCTCTAGGTTAGTTCGTGCCCCCTTTCGGGATCTTATTTCGATACATTACCCTTCGAACCGTACCGGACATGCCAAGGTTGAAATCCATTTCGACCGTATACAATATTTCGTAAATATTTCAATACAAATACAGGGTTCCGGAAAAAATCACTGGTTCGCCCGAACCCGCACCCACTACTGTAGCTCCGCCCCTGTGGAGAACTGTGTTACGCTACTTCTTGAGTGTGGGAGGCCCATTTTTGCACCTTCGTGAGTATTTAAGCCAATGTTCCCTAAACAGTGTTCTTACTTTCTCCAATTAACAAGTCATACCATGACATGAAGCTCAGTGAGAGAGCTGCTATGTCTATGGCCAGAGCCTGCTGTTGTTCCGTTGAAAAATTCCTCTGTTGATTTTTTCTACTTTGTTAATATGATGGCAGCTTTGCATATAATGTTTTGCGGAGGTTTCTACCCGAGGACAAGGTTGAATCAATCAAAGGACTTACTTTGACAGCTGATGGAAAGGGTGCGGTTTTTGATGTATTTGCTGATGACCTTGATATGTTTCTAGCTGGTATGTTTCTTCATTTTCGGTAACTGAGATATATGAGAATCATCCACGAACAAAATTCTATTCAAAAGCCTTCCATCATCATAGTTTGCTTCTTACACCCATACTCAAGCAACCCCACTATCTCATTAATCAGTGATAAAATGTCGCAAGAGAAAGACCAGGCAAGAGGTGGAAGATTTGGTAGTGGTTTCGCTTTTCGCGGAAACTTAATTCGGCCGTAGATGGTGAATAAGGCAAACAGTTTATCCGAACAGTTGACTGTACAGGAATGTTTTCGCCCTTATGGCTTCAAAATTTTGCGATGATGAAGAGAAGTGTGTATTGCGGCTGCTGTTTATGGAACATGATCATTTGATTTTCCCCATATAGGTTCAACTAGTGAACTTGCCTCTTTTTGGAATGATCTACTTTTAATATTCGAATATTAGAAATAGGTTATATACCTAATTGTTTACCTTATTATTCTTTTGCATCATGTCGGATTTAGCAAAAGGAAGGAGAAAGATAAAGGAGAGAAATTTCTTTTTATTTTCTTCACATAAACTATTCATAATTTACTCGTTTAGTTGCTGGCACATGCCTTCTCACCTTTGTCTAATTTTGATGCGATATAAAAAATTGAAGTGAGTAGGTATTTCTCTTCTATTCATGAAGTATAAAAATCTTATTATGGCGCACATGTAAAAATTAACGAACATAACAAATCTTTGTTGGGGAAAATCACTACCACTGCATGTCTACCGTTCCGCAGCTCCCGCGGTCTTCAAATCGCCACTATTTTTTGTTTGACAGAGATTTCTCCTCATTTACATTCGAGATATTCAAGAGGAACAGAACATTAGAGGGGAGAAACTTGAACGACGGTGTTACTTTTTTGTCTTTGATGTTTCAATTACGTGAGGAACATAAGGAATATATTAGTAAGTAAAGAACCAAAATACGACTATTTTAAACTGAAGGGGATTACTCACAATTTTACGTTTTAGAGATGACAATTTTAACTGGACCACATTAATAATCTTACTAAATGGTATTTTAATAAATTTCTTTAAAATAGAAAAGATAAAAAATTTCACATGTAGTCAAACATAAATAATTTTTATAAATGATAAAATCGCAAATATAATTTTTTCAATGATATCTATGAGTGCGATTTCAGTCCTTCAAGCACCATATAATTCACAACCTATGTATGAGGGCGTGCAAATGTCCCAACTTCTAGGTACCCTATCGAATATAGTCCTAAGTACCCTGCCTTATATTAATCCTCATTGCCATTATGTAAGTCTACTCTGCCAAAGGAGATGTCGAGCCCGTTTGGATTGACTTATTTTAAGTACTTTTAAACCAAAATAACTTTTAAGCTATTTTGTAGTATTTGGATAGAGTAAAAAGTACTTTTAAGCGCTTGTTTTTAAGCTAAATGACAAAAACAAGCCAAAAGTTATAATTCCTAACTTATGACTTAAAAGCTATTTTGACTTAAAAGTCACTTAAAATAAGTCAATCCAAATGAGTCAGTAGTTTCATTCTTCATAGACAGCTGCATTTAGCTTTTTCGAATTTGCCAACTTTTAAGGAGAAGGGCTAGTCATGTAATTAAAGACTTGCTCCTTGATCTTGGTGTAATGATATTTGAAAGTCAATTTGCAGAGGAGAAAACTTCTTATCCGTGATAGATCAAACAAACTTGGGACTTGCAGATTATGCTTTATTAATATTTTAAAGTTTCTTATTGATGAGTCTTTTGTCTTCCTTAAAGACCTCTTTCTTATCATATTTGGATTTTAGCTTTTCTCGAAGGAAGGACAAAGAGTTTAATATAATTATTTTTACCTTTTTAAAAGAAAAATATAGATCTCTTCCATATTTGATAGATTCATTTCTCGAAAAAAAAAAGTTGCGACCTCTATAAATTGAGGATCCCTTCTTCACACAACAATACAATAGCATCTACAATATACTCTTTAAGAGAGTTTTGTTTAGAGGGGAGAATTTTTTCTCTCGATAAGTTTTTTATTTTATTTTATACTAGTATTATAACCCGCGCGATGCGCGGTCAATATTACAGAATATTAATTATTTTAAATTATAATTTATCTTTTCAGTATATTACATCATGTTGTATTAATAGAATTTCAATTTGCATCTTACTTCTCAATACAATATTTCATTAACTAAACTATATGAAATTAAAGAAAAACAAATTATATAGTCAGCATATAACATTTTTGTCTCTTATTTTTATTATTATAGTTTTTATTATTTAGTATTATTATATTTTTAATATGATGTTTTATTAATGTATCACTTGGCTTAATATCATTGTCTACTACTCCTTTTAACATAACTAGTAGTGTACCAGTACGATGCGCGGTCAATATTAAACAATATTAATTAAATTATATTAGATCGTATTGCTTTAGTAAATTAAAATTGTCATCTTATTTATCAATACGATATATAGTCATTGAAGAACATTTTTGTTCTACATTTTTCTTTATTATATTATCCCATATTTAGTAATTTTACATTGTTAATATAAATTTTTATTAGCATATTACTTTGTTTAATATTTTTATCTGATCGCTTTCTTTTTGTAATATAAGAGAAGATATATATTTTATTAATCTTGAAATATTTTTTTATTTTTTATTTTATTCTGTTGTTCTCAATAATATCATTTGAATTTTAATGAATAAAATCTCTATTAAATTAAAGGGACTTATATAGTCATCGAATAACTTTTTTAATATGTTTTTCTTTATTATATTATCCAATATTTAGTATAATTACATTGTTAATAGAAAGTTTTATTATCATATTACTTTATTTAATATTTTTTGTCTACTACTTTCTTTTTTGTAATATAATAGAAGATATATATTTTATTACTTTGAAATATTCTTTTATTTTAAATTTTATTCTACTGTTCTCAATAATATTATTTGAATTTTAATGAATAAAATCAGTTTTTATGTTTTTGTAATTTTAGTTTTTTTATTTTAAAATAATTTAAAAACTCCAACTTGAAACTAATCTCCAATTTGATGAACATTGAGTGATACAAAGTCTTTCATCCATATAGGTGGTTTCTTGCCTCTGCAGGATTTTCTGAGTTTTGACTGTTCTGAAGATATAACAGGTATAGTCTGAGACTGTTGAGTCATTGGTGCTTGTGTAGTTAGTGTCTGCTGACCAACTGTTGTTGGTGGTTTTGGAGGCAGTGAATCATGTAATTGTTGAGTTGCTGGTGCTTGTGTGGTCAGTATCTGTTGAGATGTTGAATCTGAAGGAAATGGATTACTTGACCGCGTGACATTATTTCATGTTGATTGTGTATGCTTGCTACAAGATTGAGGAAAGTCCCAGGACTTGTGTGTAATGAGGATAGATCTTCAGTAAATTGTAGGTTATACATAAATTGATTGTTGCTTTGAGGATGAGTAAAAATAAGTTGTCTATTGCATTGCTTGCTTTTAAAAGGGAATATCTTCCTTAAAGATGACATCTCTGTTGATAAAAAATATTTTATCAGCTATGTCATATAGTAAGTATCCCTTTTGGACAGAAACATATCCCATATGAATAGAAGGCTTTGATCTAAGCATTAGTTTATCATGTTGTTGAACTATCTTAACATAGCATAAACATCCTATAACTTTCAGATGCTGCACAGATGGCTTCCTGCCATATAACTTCTCATAGGGAGTTTTGTTTTCAATAGCTGTGCTAGGCAATCTATTGATAAGGTAAACAACAACTTGAATGCAATATCCCCAGAATTTGATAGGAATACCAACCTGAAATCTAATTGCTCCAGTTACCTCTAGGATATGTCTATGTTTCCTCTCAGCTACTCCATGTTGCTGAGGGGTATATGGACATGTTTTTTTGATGAACTACTGCTAGACTACTGAATATATCATTGCAGACTGAATTAACAAACTTTGTTTTATCTGTTCTAACCACTTTCACTGATTTATCAAACTGTGCTTTCGCAAATGCAAGGAACTGTTGCACAATCATACATACATCAGGTTTTAATTGTAGGAGAAATATCCATGTCATTCTGCTGAAATCATCAACCACAGTTAGGAAGTATTTGTTGCCATCAATAGTAGGTACTTTATAAGGCCCATATGAATTAGCTCAAACCAAGTAGTAGTTCTAATGCTACTGACAGAAAAGGGTTGCCTTGTTTATTTTGCATAAGGAGATATACTACACTTATCTACTCTAGCAGATATTATTTTTACTTTACTGGGAGTATCTTCTTCAGAACAGTAGTGGAGACATGGCCAAATCTTTTGTGCCAAAGGTCTATATCATTTGAAGTAATCTTTTTATTGAACTCAAGTTCCTTTGCTACTAGGCTAACTACTTCATTTCCTTGTGCTGTTTGTCTACTCAGAACTTACAACCCACTGTCTTCTTTACCAATCGCTTTTACCCTCCCACTGAAGAGTTCCTGAAATATACAAAAATCAGGAAAGAAATCAATTGAATATTTCAGCTCCTTGGTTACCTTAGAAACTGACAAACGATTATACTTGAATTGGGGAATATAAAACATATTGGTTATAATGTTTTGATATGTTATGGTGCTAGATCAAATATGAGTAATCTGTGTTGTTTCTCCATTTGGTAGATATACCTTCATTGGTTGACTTGTTTGAGCTATGGAAGCTTTGTTTAATAATTCTAAGTCAGCTACCATATAGTTTGTAGCTCCTGTATCTATTATCTATTCTTGCAAACTATTTGATGCAAGTAATGCACATGGTATACCTATTGCATTTGCTGTAGGAAGTGTTGCAGAAGATGTTGTGTTGTTTTTATTCAGCAGCTGCACTATGTGATCATACTGCTCCTTGGTGAATGTGCAGTTTCCTAGTTGAGGCAACATGCCAAATGAAGTTTTCTGCATTTGTGTAGTTGTGTTACCTCATGTGTTGGTTGTCATCTGTAAATTCTGCAGATTATTTTCTGTCCAGCCTTGAGTGGTAGCTCTTGGTAGTTGATTATTCTGCAACATTATTTCAGACAATACATTGTAGGCAGCATGTGGATTAACATTTTTCTTCCTTGACCTGCTGGATATCCCACTATTTTGTAGCAGTTTTCTTTGCTATGACCCTTCATTTTGCCGACCTCAATGTAAGAATCTAATTTTTGACTATATTTAAATTTTTTCCCGCTCATCTCACCGATACACCATTTTCCACTCCACTTTTCTTGCCCCCACTCTTTATCCCCACTCCACTTTCTTGTCCCCACTCAAAAAACCAAAAAACCCCGTATCCCATTTTCAGCCGTTAAAACACACATAACACACAAAGGAAAAACGGACCAGACCCCCTCTTCTACACCAAAAAAACTAGCGCCTCATGCT